TAATTATAAAAATTACATTAAATCACAAAATTATAACAAATAATCTATTTAAAATATTTATAAATTTTAATTCAACTATGAATAATACAAAAAGTATGACATATATCATAATATGCAAATTAGTTGCAACGTCGTTACAACTCAAACATCAAAAGTAATATATTCGATGCGAAATCTTATGTGTATCTCTTAAGGAGTAATGAATCTTGAAAGAATTTCGATATTATAATTTGAGATTTTTCTTAAATACTCCTTTTATTTAATATGCTTTGTGTTTGAAAGAGAATTTATATAAAAATATAATTCACAATTTAAATATGATTCTCTAGTATAATTTATTTATAAGTTTCAACAAGTTAATAAAGTGACACATAATTTACCATACTATATCATGATAACTAATTATTTGTAAATAGTTACGAGCTAATACTGAGCTATTAAATTAATAAGTATTGTACCTCGTAAACGTGAAAAAAATATTTAGGAAAATAATTATAAAAAAAATTATGGACTAATATAATAAAGACATAACAAAAAGTTAATAAATAAATACTTTTAAATGAAAGATNTTAATAGTGTGGAAGTCATGAGGAAATAAGGTAAGAAAATAATTGAAGACTGATTGTAAATCAATCACATAAGACTCCCTTTAATTAAGGGATTCAAATTCATATGGCTATAAAACAATTAAGGAAAGAAATTAATCAAACACTTGTGTAAAGCATGCAATTGAGGGTAAATACATAAAGTTTATTTAAGGACAAGGTCTCTGAAATACACGGTTGTACAATTTAAGGAAGAAAATCAATTAACAGCCAAGAAATCACAAGGTCTGAGATTTGGTGTGAATGAACCAAGTCAGAAAGATGGAAAAGGTTTTCACTTAAGGAAAATCAGCAAACAATCAATTAGACCTATTAAACGGGAATTCTGAGTCAATCACTAGTTTGAAAACCTTTTTGAAGAAGGATTCATCATATATAAATCATACAGACACGTTAAACATGAAAGAAACTTGTCATAAAATCAGTAGAAATTCCAGTATAGGAGAGTTCAGCAAAAATTCAGAATTGTATGAAAACAGAGATGTTCAAACTTGGTTTAGAGACCCAAAGTTAGACTGAAAGAATTAGGGGGTCTTTTGAGCAAACCCTAAAGCAAGGATGAGAGGGCAGGAAACTGAATCGAAATCTTGTTTGGAAGCTTCAGAACACATGAGAAACATGATAGCAAAGTAACATGCAATCACAATAGAAGGATTCAAAGAATATAATGATAAATACTGATAAGAGTAGTAAAAAAAGCATGCTTAGAAGAAACATAAACGGGGCTTTGTAGAAGGCAAACAAAGAAACTTAAAACTTAGCAGGAAAATACAGTAGAAGGGCACAAGAACACCGGAAAAGAATAGCAGAAAGCATATAGGAAAACACAGTAAGATAAACATATCAGAACATGGTAAAAAATACAGTAGAAAAGCATATCAGAACATAGTGGAAGAAAACAGCAGAACATAGCATAGAAAACACAGTAGAAGGAAGAACGGAATATAGAAAGCAGTAGAGGAACACACGTGGTAGAAGGAAAACATAAGAACACGGTAGAAAAGCATACGAGACCATAATATAGGAAACATAGTAAGAGAAGCATATAAGAACATGATACAAGAACACAGTAGAGACAAATACACATAAATGACAAAGAAAAATCATAAAAACATTTAAACGCTTTTTCAGAAAACCCTAGATCGAAAAGAAAGGTTTTTGAAAGTGGTTTTGAAAGGAAAGTCGAGAGAATCGTTTAAAAACTTCAAGTAAAGCACAGATACACAATGGATCTAAGAAAAAATCGGAGAAAACCTCGAATAGTTAGGGTTTCAGAAGAACCCTAAAATGAGAAAGGCTTTGAAAAGGTCCGATCTGAGTCGGAGAGGATAAGAATCAAGCTCAGAAGACCAGGATACGCCGGAGCAAAGCCGGAGATGGCCGTAGAACCTTGGATCGGTGGGGATCTGAACGAACACATTCGAGGTCAGACCTCGAACCTTCGAGTACCAAGCGTATAAGAGCAAAGGGAGTTGAGTTTAAGCCTCCCATGGCCTGATAAGCCATGGATTCCGGTGGTTTCGAGTTTGGAGACGGTAAGAGACGATTAGGGTTTTGAGAACATTCAAGAGAGTTCGAGAGAGTGGGGTGTTTAGAGACGGCTGGTAGAAGAGGAATAAGGCGATTAGGGTAGTCGATTGGACTAAAAAAGGCAAGAATGAATAGGGGCCGTTGATCTCTGAGATCAACGGCCAGGATAAGAGGGGATCTGGGTCGGATAGGTTTTAGTTGGGTCAGGGGCGGGTTAAATCAAAAATTGGGTTAGCCCGTTTAAGATTGAAATTGGGTTTTAATTGAGGGTTGATTTGGGATATAATTGAAATAACTTCAGATCTACCTGCGACTTTACATTTAATTCAGACCATCCAAACTTTAAGATATAAAGGAGAGGAGAGAATGACATTGAGGTGGGTAACTTTATTCATGATGGAGAAAATGCAGAATATAGGATGGCAACTTGGACCATAAGTAAAGCAGGAAATTACATCATATAACCTTGAAAATGGATGGTCTTAATTTTTTGACCCCACTTGCCCATGGACAAACCGTTAAGGTCAGAATTCAAAAGTTTTACCCTGGGTAAAAACTTGAAGTACGAGGGTAAAAAAATCAAGATCACTCACTTGCTATGCCATTTTTGTAAATCACCCTAAATAAAGTCCGGGGACCTGTTCAGTGGCAGCCCATTTTCAAGTACTGGAAGTTCATACACAGGTGCACTGATCTCCAGTATATTATGTGGAACTTTCCTTGTTGCAGCAAAATAGTGGCTATTTTCAATGACTTTGCAAACGCTGACTATATTTGAATGACCAGTCCAAAAACTGGCTAGCCCGTGCTATTTTAACCAAAAAGATTAGCGTAGGGTTAGGGCTTCCTGGGCTAACGCAAATTAATCCGCTTCTGTAGATCTGTGTTCTATCCAGTTAAACGCAAATATTTGAAATAAAACAATTAATACTTCTTAATCCTTAACAAAAAGATTAAAGGATACGTGTGTCATATTAATAGCATACAAACTAATGAAACCAACTTATTAGGTAAATAACTGTGGATGCTAAAACCCACCACTTAATTATACAGGTACCGACACTATTTGGATTGAGATTAAAAAAAAATGCAATAAATAAGGACAGTATGAGAAATTATCTAAATATGATATCAGAGGAAATAGAAAAAAGGAAATTAACCATCTAGTATGCATGAAGAGGCATTGAAAATTGAAGGACATGAACACTTTTTTTAACAAGAAAAGTTTAATAACGAAAAATGATCATTGTAACAGTGGTTTGCTCCACATATAGAGTATATTATTGAACTATTGTGTTTTTCTTTTATCATTTAGTACTTAAATTCCACTACCGACTAAGTCATATTAGCACGGAATTTCTCCATTCTCAAAACTTGCATTTGAGGTCTTCAGTTTTCAGAAATCTCATTTATCCTACCACATCCTTTAGTAGTGAATCATTATGTTGAATATCCAATGCAGTAGTAGCAGCCTTTTCTTGAACATGAGAGAGGGGGCAGGGGTGGGTAGCCAAAAAGAAAAGGAAAAGAAAGTAAATTAAACCATTAATTTAAACCATTAACCTTTGATTTAGTCCACTTGTTTGCTGTTTTAAGACATGACTATGACTAGTCAGAGTTACATGTGTTAAGTGATTTCTAGCCAACCCCAAGGGTTTTCTATTCTTCCTTTCTTAATTCTAGCCGGCTAGGGAATAGGAATTTAAAAGAGGACAAAATTCGAGAAAAAAAGTTAACAATGTGATTGTGTAACCATAGAAAAATCAGCTTCAGCTGATGTGGTGAAGGGTCCAAAAGGACAAGGGCAGAAATCTCAATTAGTCCCCTCTTAATCTTTCCCAACCCTAACACTTCTCAATCCTCCACAATCCAACCTAAGTGAATTTCAAGAACCAGAAAAAACAAAGTGCACGAATTTCATTATAATAATGGAATCTGAAAGTTCATCAACTTTTCGGACAGCTCGATCGAGTGAGTAAAATGTTTAGAATGTTTATATGGGAGTATATATGTATACACAGACACAAAACGTAAAAAGTGTTTTTGCGTGCCTATTATTTGCAAGTTATTGTGTTTGTTATTTGCTTCTTATTTGAATTATCAAGGACTCATTTAAGCCCTAATACACACGTCATTATTCTTATGGATATATATTCCGATCTTCTATGACCCTTGTTATACTTATTTTGCATTCACCTGAGTGCAATTATCTTTGGAATTAAGTAAATTCAAGATTCATTTGTGCCCTAATGCATGTCATTTCACAAATGGCACTTCTCTTTAGACTAAGGTTTTTATTTATTTATTTATTTTTCTCTAGGTGATATTTTTTATAACAAAAATTAAATACAAAGGAGGCGGACATAAAACCAATACCTCTCAAGGTAAATACAAATTGCAATTGAAAGACTTGTTTTCTACCCAGTACATACATGTCACAGATCCAAGATATGACCATGAATCTGCCTTATGTACTAACTACTAAGCACTTGAAACTATTATGCTCTTCACCGATCATTATTTGTTGTGAAATTATGGTTCAGAGACAGTGTCAAGAAGGCAGTATATTGATCGATAATTAGATACATGAGTCCTATGTATTTATACAGTATTTCATTCTGTATTTTCGGCTATACTACATAGAATAGGACTCTTCTAGGATAGCTAATACAAGGAGTCCTAATTTTTCTAAACTAGGACTAGGTGATTGCATAGTTATCAGGTTTGTTAGCGTGATCATTATCTTCAACGCTTCCCCTCAAGCTAGTGGGAGGTGACTTCACTACACCTAGCTTGTCTCGAAAAAACCGGAACTGGTCCTTGCCATGAGCCTTTGTATGAACATCTGCTAGTTGGTCCTTGGACCTACAAACTGAGACCTTGAGCTACCTTCTCTCTGACAAAGTGGTAATCTAGTTCTACATGCTTAGTTCTAGCATGCATTACTGGATTTGTAGTCATGTATAGAGCACTCAAGTTGTCACAGAATAAGACAGGAGCAGTCTTGATATACATTCCAATGTCTTGTAGAATATAACTTATCCAGGTAAGTTCAGCTGCAGTTGCTGCTAGTGCTCTATACTCAGCTTCAGCACTTGACCTTGCAACAGTATTTTGCTTCCTTAATGACCAGGAGACACAATTTGCACCAAGATGTATACTGTATCCAGTAGTAGACCTCCTTGTAATGGTACATCCTGCCCAGTCTGCATCTGAGAACGCATACAACCTGAAGGAAGACTGTGATATGACTTTTAGTCCATGATCGATGGTTCCTTTGACATACCTTAATATTCTCTTTACTGCTTGTAGATGCATGCTGTTTGGATTCTGCATGAATTGACTTGCAAGATTAACAGCATGAGTAATGTCAGGTCTTGTGAATGTGAGGTACTGCAAGCTTCCTACAATGCTTCTGTAGGCTGAGGGATCAACTGCTTTGCGGGCTGCTTCTTGTAGACCATGCTTCTGAGCAAGTGGAGTACGCATTGTTTTTACATTTTCCATATCCACTCTTCTAAGCAGATCATTTGTATATTTGCTTTGGTTCAAGTGGATTCCTCCAGGAAAATAGCTCACTTCAATACCTAAAAGTAACTCAAAGGTCCAAGATCCTTCATAGCAAATTCATGCCCCAGCTTTTGTACTACTTCCCCTATCTGTCTTGAGTTGCTTCCAATTACAATTATATCATCTACATATAACAAAAGTAATATTGTTCCTTCTGCATCATGTAAATCAGCTATACTGCATTTGAAACCAATATGAAGCAGAAATAGGCTAAATCTTTCAAACCAAGCTCTGGGAGCTTGTTTGAGACTATATAGTGCCTTTTTCAAGAGACAGACATGATCAGGATATATTGGATTAGTGAAGCCTGGTGGTTGAGTCATATAGACTTCTTCTTGTAGATGTCCAAGTAGAAAGGCATTCTTAACATCTAATTGCCTAATGCGCCAATGTAGAGTGACTACAACAGAGAGAATAACTCTTATAGTTGTAGCTTTAACTACTGGACTGAAGGTTACTTCAAAGTCAATGCCTTCAAGTTGTGAGTACCTTTTAGCAACTAGCTTGCTTTGTGTCTTTCTATTGATCCATTTGGCTTCATTTTTGTTTTAAACACCCACTTAGATCCTACTAAATTCATTGTTGGAGTTCTGGGAACTAGTATCCAAGTTGCATTTTGATGTAAAGCTGCTAATTCTTCTTGCATAACTTTAAACCAGTGAGGGAAACTAAGAGCTTCTTTTACAGTTTTAGGTTCTTCTGGTTTTATTTGTACAACAGCTAGTGAGGTATGAGTTATAGGAAGAGACTTAGCTTTGAATCTGGTGATCATTTTATGGCCTTGATCAGTGATCGCAGGTTCAGCATGAACTGTGTTTTCTGCTTCTGCTGGAGGTGCTTCAATTTGGTTATTGAAGAAGTGTGACAAGTCCACTTCTAGTTGCAATCCTCTTGGATCTGTCACTGTGTACTGCATAGGTGTTTCATCTGAGTGAGAGGCCTATGAGTGCAATTCGTCAGCATCTGAGTTTTGCATGTCTGCAGAGGGCTCAGCAACACTATTTGTAACCTCCACAACTTCATCCTGATCAGACTTAACAGCATCACTGTGATCAGCAGTTGGAGCACCTGTTTGAGCAGTAACACTATCACTCTGATCAGCTGCAGTACCATGGATAGCTCTCAACACAGCACTTTGATCATTTGAAACATTAGCTGCAACATCATCATGATCAGCTCCCAACACTTCCCTTGCAGCAGTAGAGTCTGATGAACAGACTTAGTTTGTGATTCTGAGAAAAATTCAAAGAAGGTGGCCATATGACTAGAGTCATTTGGTGCATTGTCAGTCTTGTTTTCCTGCACATAAGGAAGTGTTAGTTCATCAAAGACAACATGTCTTGACACAAAGACCTTCCTTGTGGTTGGATGATAGCACCTATAGCCTTTATGCAGACTGCTGTAACCAATGAACACACATGGATATGACTTAGGTGAGAACTTGTGTTTTCCCTTTAAGTAAGGGAAACACCTGCACCCAAACACTTTTAAACTGTTGTAATCAGGGTGTGAGCCATGCAATTTATGAAACGGTGTTTCCTTTTTAAGCACAGATGATGGCAATCTATTTATTAGAAATACTGCTATGAGAAATGCTTCAGCCATAAATATAAGTGTAATCTAGCATGTAGTAATAGTGTCAATCCAGTTTCTACTACATGTCTATGTTTCCTTTCTGCAATGCCATTTTGCTCAGGGGTGTGAGGGCAGAAAATATGTCTTACAATGCCACAGTCTTCTAAATACTTAACAAATTCTGAACTTGAAAATTCACCTCCACCATCACATTGAAAGATCTTTATACTCTTTGAATACTGTTTCTCAACCATTTTGTGGAATTTGACAAATGTTTCAAAGAAATTAGATTTTCTTTTTAAAGGATACAACCAAGTATATCTACTATGATCATCAACAAATAAAGAATAGTATTTTATATGTTGGGAAGATTCAACAGGAGCAGGACCCCATAAGTCACGGTGAATTTTCAGTAGAGGTTCATTCTCAACTTTATTTCTCAATTTGAATGGTAGTTTACAACCTTTTCCCATTTGACAACTAACACAAACGATAGGAGTTTTATTCCAACATATGACATTGTAGATTTATTGTTACTAAGTACTTCTAAGGACCTAGAATTTGAATGCCCAAGTCTGGCATGCCAAATATCACTAGATCTTCTCCTTGTCTGTGTTGAACTCAAAGCAAGTAGGTTGTCCACCTTCAAGGCATATATCTCTCCTCTTTTGGCACCCTTGGCCATCAGTTTCCTTGTCCTCTTGTCCTTTACAACAAAAGATGATTCATCAAACTCAATAGAGCAGCAATTATCTCTAGTAATCTTACTTACTGATAGCAGATTCTTTTTGAGCTTAGGAACTACTAGCACTTCACTCATCCTTAAACCAGAAATTGTTCCTTTCCCAACATGTGTGATATCCAATTCTTGTCCATTTCCTACTATAATTTTATCATTTCCATTGTAAGGTTTAAGGTTGGAAAAGTTACCAGAATTGTTGGTCATGTGAGTGCTTGCTCCAGAATCCATATAGTGAGCATTATCTCCACCATTCTGACTGTTTACATTGAGTGTAGCAAGAGCATGTGGCAAATCTTCTGGTGCTTGATAGGAGAAGTCCCATCTGTAGAAGCACTTTATTGCAGTGTGATTGTTCCTGCCACATATCTGACATGCTGATGGTCCTGTGGTTTCCTATCCCTTAACAGCATTTCCAGATCCTTGAGTGTTTTGATGGTGATTCTGTCCGGCAGGCCTAAAACCTCTACCTCTTGAACTGTAGTTGTAACGACCTGGCCGGTCGTTTTTGGAATTTACGCCCCGATTCCCCATTTACCGCTTCCCCTAAGTTCATTTCTGTTATTTTGGTATGCCGGGATGTTCGTTGTTAGGATTCGGAGTGTCTTGGGACACTTAGTCCCTAAATGAGAGCTTAAGTGTTGAAAGATGGTCCGTAATCGGAACAGTGTGAAGACGACCTCGGAATGGAAATCCGATGGTTCCGTTAGCTCCGTTAGGTGATTTCGGGGTTGGGAGCGTGTTCAGAATGTATTTTGGAGGCTCGTAGCTCATTTAGGCTTGAAATGCCGAAGTTTGAATTTTTGAAGTTTCCGGTCCGATAGTGAGTTTTTGATCCGAGGGTCGGATTGGAATTCCGGAAGTTGCAGTAGCTCCGTCATGTCATTTGGGATGTGTGTGCAAAATTTCAGGTCATTCGGGCGAGGTTTGGTTAGGTTTTTGATCGAAAGTGTATTTTGTTGGAATTAGAAGTTCTTAGGCTTGAATCCTTGATTAACTCGTGTTTTCGGCGTTGTTTTAGGTGGTTTAAGGTTTGCTACAAGTTTGAATGATGTTATGGGACATGTCCGTAGGTTTGGTTGAGGTCCCGGGTGCCTCGGGTGTGTTTCGGATGCTCAACGGAGCATTTTGGAGTTTCAAAGTGTTGCAGAAAATCCTTTAGCTGTGCAGGTCCCAATTCCTTCTTCGCATTCGCGTCCTCCTCTACGCGTTCGCGTAGAGTAATTCTGGAGGATGACAAGTTTCTTTATTGCGTTCGCGATTAGTGCTCCGCGATCGCGTAGCTTCACATGTTTCTTAACCGCGTTCGCGTCAGGGCTGTCGCGTTCGCATAGACTTATTGGACTCCAAGGGTTGGGCTTGATTTTCATTTAATGCGTTCGCATGACCTATGTCGCGTTCGCGTAGCTCACTGAACCCAGGCCTTCGCGTTCGCATCCATTCCTTCGCGATCGCGAAGGGCATTTTTGGTCCCTTTATATTTTCCTTCTTCGCGAACGCGTGCTGCCTTTCGCGTTCGCAATGCTTTAGACCCCTGAACAGTACTTAACATTTCAAAAACGAGGTTTTGCCATTTTTATCAAAACTCAAGGTTTGGAGCTCGGATTTGGGAGCAATTTCAAGAGTTTTTCAAGGGCAATCACTGGGTAACGATTCTCTACTCTCCTATGACTAAAACCTATTAATCTAATCGCAAATTCACCCTTTAATTTCGTGTTTTTGAATGGGAAGTAGGTAAACTTCTTAGACCTAACTATGGGGTTTTGAGGGGGCATTTGACCTCCGATTTGGAGATTTTTATATGGTTAGACTCGTGAGAGTAAGAGGGTTCTGAAAACGTAAAAATTATTCGATTCCGGGGCGTTAGCCTGGAGGGCATTTTGGTCATTTCACCTAATTTTACGCCATAGCTTTGAATTTATTAGCAAAACCAGGTGTTTGCGATGTTATTTACAATATGTAATTGAATTGAATAGATTTGAGCCATCTGGAGTCGGATACTCGTGGAAAGAGCGTGATTTCTAGTTGATATTGAGCCGGTTCGAGGTAAGTGGCTTGTCTAACCTTGTGTGGGGGACCTTTTTCCTTAGGATATGATCTTGAATATTTGAATGCCCCGTACGTGAGGTGACGAGCGCGTACTTGAGCTAATTGTTGTAAATCCGTTTCTACTTGAAGTATTTAAATTGAGCTTTCTTGTTTACTGGTCCATTTTAACTGTAAGTTTGTACCTGTGCTAGCTTAGAGACTCATGTTTAGCTGGCTTACCTGCTTATTTGCTTTAACTGTGCTATTTGTACTCTGTGAAGCATGTTAGGCTATAAGTTACTGCTTCGTGTCCTGATTTTTAGCATTGTTCCGAGATTTAGGAATCGTTGTTGTTGTGTGTTTAATTTGGGACTACGGGACGGCTTTCCGGGAGATCCCCTGTACTTGAGATATTCTGGACTGAGGGTGCGGGATACCAAGAGATCCCTGGCACATGTGTTTCTATATATATATTGGGATACCAAGAGATCCCCGACTTACTTATTGAGGATACTAAGAGATCCTCGGGATACCGAGAGATCCCTAGTGTTGATGATGAGGATACCAAGAGATCCTT